CTATCCTATGATTTGCTGCTTGACTAAGAGGCAAATCTGAAGTCAGTTTTCTTCTTCATTAAGGTGTACCAACTGCTGTCAGAAGGTAAATTGTTGTAATCTCAGCCTGGTCTTTCTGTGTTAGACAATCTGCCAACAGATCTGCCGTTGGAAGCATCTTTCCCTCCCGGTGTCTCCTGGTACCACCGAGGAATGTTACGAGGAGTCTGCATGTGTCACGCTCTTTACCTTCCTACTGAACCGCCGTGTTTATACAACGCACTGTGAGGATGAGGGAGGGGGGAGGTACTTAGAGACACGCTTCATGGGTTAGTAAAGGAGTAACAACCCCTAAACCATCCCTGGGGGTTGCAGAGGGAGGAGGAAGGGCTCGAGCTCTTGGAAAGTGGAGGTTCCCCTCTGGTGAGCGTGTTAAGGCTCAGCCTGGTAGAGTCTAGAATTCCTCTGGTGTCAAAGAAGCTTGTAAAGATGTAATGCGAGCCTTTTTACGTCGCTGAAAACAGAAACCAAACTTAGCAATATCCAGCTCCAATCATAGCTGTCCACTGCCAGTAACTGGAAGTATAGGGTTTGACTAATTTGTGGTGATATATATTAAATGCACAATATCATCAATATCTTTAAACGTAACCATAAAACAACACAGGCTGAGTAATGAGCAGAGCACACTGTGTAACTGACACCTCTACTGGTCAAGTCAGTTATTGAATTTTGATAGTCAATTAGTCCCTGAAGTCATTCATCCAGGAAAAATGTCAAACATTCTCTGCTTTCAGCTTCTCCAGCATCAGTATGTTCAGCTTTTCTGTTTTGTTTTATTTTATTTCAGATTTACTGGCTGTGGGTTTTGGACCGTTGGTCCGACAAAGCAAACAAATCAAACATGTTACTTTTGCGGTCTTGGAAATTGCAATTAATCAATAATCAAAGTGATCTCACTTGAAGCCTCTGGACACACTGAGGTTGGATGGTTTAGATTCAGAGTGCTGGATAATTTGGAAAAATACATTTGTCAAATTCTAAAGCTACTTGGGGGAAACACACCCTGAGCAGCATAATGACAGAACTGAGCCGGATGATTTATCAGCAGTCGGGCCTGATGCTGGACGTCCGCTCCATCTGCGCGGTCCCTGCTTCCTTAAACGTTCCCAAATGAGCTTACAGCTCCGTCCACCCCAGCTATACATCTGCACAGAGATCGTCTTCCACTTATTTTAATGTGCAGTTTGTGTTCAAAAACTAAGCAATGGAAACTCCACAAATAAAAGAAAAAGTCACGTTTTCATGCCTGGCTATGGTGGAGAAATGGAAACGGAATAATCAGTTGATAAAAAGAAGAAATACAACATGACTCCTTTTTGTTTGAAGCCACTAAGCTGACGACTTTTTATATGATACTAAATCTTTCAGTTCATTTTTTTTTCAGTTCCAGTAAAAACTGGAACGTCTGCTTCCAGAGGCACCAAAGAAAGGAAATTTTAGATCTCACATGTGACTTTGAATAATGTCACTGCTGGACCTGCTTTTCCATCTTCTTCTTATGATTTACAACTTCATTGGAATACTGCTGTCACCCACTGTTACATGACTCCAACCAGAAATCCCCTCAAAAAACCAAAGTAAAGCAAAAAGGCATGTACAGGAGGTCTTATGTCACGTAGAGTTACAGTGACAATTAGTGGAAATAATCGGGTTTGTCTTTTCTTTTGGCTCGTTTTTGGGCGGGAAACCTATGTGGAAGGCAACGAGAGACAGGAAGATGAATGACAGAGGAGGCTGTAATTGGACAAGTCTGCAGCACACGATTCACATCCAGTGCCAATGCAGGAAGAAATGTGCCTCAGGTAAGTGTGAAGTAGGAGAGTACAGGGTGGTGCATGGACCAGATTTATAATGTAGTTATTTACCCGCAACCACAATCATTCTTCAACCTGAACCACGTTTTTAATATGCCTGTATCCAACCATATCCTCTCCATGTCTCTGATCTTCTCCCAGGCTTAACCACCAGGCCACAGTTGCACAGCACAGATGTTTCAAATGTATATCATTTTACAAAGTTAGCATTGGACATTACATGTAATCCAGGATTTTGCAGACTCTGTTCTGTCTGGTGATGGGGATGGTTATCACAAGCACTGGAGTGAGAGTAATGGTGACATTCTGTTCCACATAAAAGCCAAACCCGGAGAAAATATTAGGCTAACAGTAAAAAAAAAAAAAAAATACCAAGATGGAAAACAGATCGAACAGAAAGCAGAACAAGGGAGCAGAAGGGTGAGGCTGGAAACGAGCCTCTCTGCAGTGGTAAAAACGTCACATCTGCACATGTCAAACACAGCAAATGCAGAGAGCAGGAAAGGAATGACCGAATGGCAAAAACGGTCGAGACGACAACAGCAGGGAGACGCTTTCTGTCCTTGAGAGCCAAGAAAAACTTTTGCAGCCGGAGCATCAATGCTTCAAAACGTAGAGGAAATATAAATAGAAAAATGTTTGAGTAAGCTGGACTTGAGTTACAAGAGTTAGAAAATAAGAACGGCCAGTTGTTTCAGTGATGTTATTTCCCTGATGAAAAAAATCTACAGTGACCGAAATCTGACCTGAAGGGAGGAGTGTGTGTGTGTGTGTGTGTGTGTGTGTGTGGATGGCTGTGTGGGTGTGTAACATCAGAGCACCACAGGGCACACTTAAACTCCGCTAAGAGGAGGGGCTTTGAGTCGGTGCAGCTGATAACAAGTGAAGTCTCTCTCTCACACACACACACACACACACACACACACCTACACACACACACACACACTGTCCAATCCCTGACTCGATCCTCTTCACCTTGTACCTCTTAACTTCCTTCATGGGGTTATTAACTCCCTGATTGGGGAGCTTTCCTTCAGTTTCCCCCCTATTTAGTTGTCATGGTGGCATGACCCGAACACTTATTAGCTGACCCTCGGGATTAGTCCGAGCTTGAAACGGAGGGGAGTCGGGGTTAAGCCTTCACCTCGAGGTGCTCGCTGCAGCATCTCACAAAAACCTTAATTAAATTGCTGAGACACCGAGTCAGGAATGTTTGCTTTGCTTCTCCCTCTCTCTCCCCGTACGTACCTCGGTTCATCCCTCTGTCTCCACCTTTCTTTACTTTTCCCATACTCATACGCTCCACACTGGGTTTGTTTTACTGCCTCCGACTCCTCACAGAGCAGACGCTGAAGGCAGCAGGTTATAATGTGAGGTGAAAACAGCAGGTCATAATCTGCATATCCCTGTGTGGGTTTGTTCGATAAACAGCTCTGTCATGCAACACGTTAGCAATCTATTATTACATGAAGCACATAAATACCAATCTAGACGTGAATACAGATCAATAAAATCTGTCTTTTTCATCTTTTTTGCAAGAAAGATAATCTGACAGATGATTATTATACTGTAAGTGTGCATTTTACTGCCATCCTTATTTAATAACTTATCTCTACACAATGTGAGCTCATATCATCATCATCATCATCATCATCATCATCATCATCATCATATCACAGCCAGCGTTGCAATTTACTGTATCGTCATTAATGATTCTTCTCTTAAATATCCTTCAGATTAACAGTTTATTCTCTCAAATGTTAGATAAATTTGTTCCCAAACCCAAAGTCACATCCTCAAATTCCTCAACAAGCTACAATCCTTTAACTTACAATAACATGAAACAGATAAAAACTAAATATACAGCACATCGGAGAAGCCAGTTTTTAAGTCATTTAAACTTGTGTCTGTCAACTAATCAATTTATCAATCAATCAACAGTTGCTCAACACTGAAGAATGCAGCCTTGGATTCTAAAGTCTCCCTAATAACTGGTTTAAGCATTTTGTAAACTGATTGCCATGAAGTGCAGATTTAAAGAGGTTTGGATGGGGAAAAAATCCATCTTGCTCACCAAAATACAATCAGAAAGGTGATCGTTTGGAGTCTTAATCTGTTTTTATATTTCAAAATGTTTTGTTATTTAAAATGTCAGAAAATAGTTCCCAGTATGTGGTTGTTCTATCAGACCACTGGTTCAAACTCCAACCTATGAATTTACAGTGATTATTAACTATAATCCCCCAGTAACTATTAACTTTTTTTTTTTTTTTTAAAGATACAAACTCAATTCTTATAACTTAGAAGTTGCATTTTTTCAGCGTTGCTTTTATATATATGCAAACTGCCTAATGCCAGTCAACTAATCATTAATTATCCATTTCAGCACCAGTTAAAGTCAATTTGATTGCAAATCTTCTCAGAACATATTCACACCTAGAGACGGTATAACCAAAGCTGACCAGGAACCATCAGAGCCAGACCTCATAAAGTCATCACTCCAAACTGTCACACTGACCACGTCCCGGTGGAAACAGCCTGATTCCTCTCTGGGGGATCACCGATCAATCATACGGATTAAAGTCTCCCATCGGAGGTGAAAACTAACAGAAGTGAGAGAGAAAACCGTGCCGGGGCAGATAACAACCTCTAATCCGAAACATTCGACACTAACACGGTCTGAAGCAACGAGCAAAGATAAGAGGTAATCCAGTTTCCACATATCTCTGCAGGGAACACTCCTCTCAGTGTCTCTCCGTGCGTCCCCCCCGGGCTGAGCGCGTCTGGACGCCAGATCCTGACCCGCGATACCGCGACCCGTGCACCGGCACAGGAATGCGAGGAGACGCTGACAAAGTCTGTGTTCAGATGTGAAGCAGGCTGACTAAAGGCACGACAGGGAACCGAGGCTGGATCAATTATCAGCGCCAGAGTTTACAGAAGAACTGATGAACCGCGCGCCTCTAATCGATACCACAGCATCAGAAAGAGTCCAGACATGAGCGCTGTTTCTGTGATGTAGGAGGTTGCAAAGTCATCATCAAAGTCTACTAACAGAGAGAAGGAGTTGCTGAGCTGTTCGGTTTGCACAGAAACGCGCACTGAAAGTTTAAAAACCACAACAAAAGCGCACGAGAGGCTTACCTTGGCAAAGTAATCCAAAGTCCGCGGGAATACGCTGGAGCAGCTCCCACTCGCAACTTGTATCCACTTTTGTCGGCGAGTCTCTCGATGCAAAGCCCAAAACTGTTCACGAACTTCTCCTTGCACCTCCGCAGAGTTAGCGTCCACACAGAGTTCACGACGGAAAGGTGTATCACTGCAGCGCGCTCCGCTCGGAGACCCAGTGTCCGCCAGCAGCTCAGGGGCGCACGGACTGTTCAACAATAGCGCTCATTGAAGTGAAGGAGGCGAGCACTTAAACAAGCTGGGGAAGTGGGAGGTGCAGCGAGGAGCCGGAGTGCGCAGCCGTGCGCGTCCCCGAGGCATGCTGCACCTGCAAAAAAAAAAATATATCCAGAGGAGAGATGGTCCGTGGTGCGCTTCAGAGACGTCTGGGGCTGTTTAGAGAAACCAAACAGCTGCATTTTTGGAGCAATTTATTAAAACAACAGAGACGATCACCTGAAAGCTGCTCTGTTGCTCATCCTTCTGGCAGCATTTAGTCCTCCGTCTGTTTTCTGTCAGCAGGATTACGCAAAAAGGCATCATCTGGCAAAAGCTGAAAATCTAATGTCTCTGCATTATTTTTAACCAATTTTGTCGTTTTTTCTAAGTTGAAACCTCTTTAAGGATTCAGCTCATATAATGTAGTTTTCCACCTGCCAAAAAGTGACAGCAGCTCCTACATTGTGAAAGTTGTTCATGCATCAACATGACTGGACTATAGTCAGGAGGGTTTACATCTTAAAGGTTATAGCTTGTAGAAAAAATACAAAAGAGATCATTTCCTTTGCTTTTGTATATGAAACCCATCTGACAATCATGTTAATTACAGTCCAAACAAAGATATTACACATGCAGCTAAAGTCTGGAAACAATATATTTTATGGCAACAATTATTTGGTTACAAGAAATGTTAGTTTCACAAAGACATCCCTTTGCACTCACCACAGATACAACGTTTTGTGTGTTTGCACTATTTGATGAATGCTTGTTTGATCCAGATAAAACAGCTGCAGACCTCTGGGCTATAAACTGGGTAATGCAGTTTTACCAAACAGCGCGCGGCCAGTTTTTAGGAGATGATCACTTTTTGGCACGACAGTTGATTTCATGATACTTTGGTGGAGAGGTGGAGCGTGATCAACAGAAGAAACACTGAATTTGTGATCAGATCTGGATCACTGCAGATGGCCTTGAGGCAGAACTCTGAGTGCATTTAGCCTAGAGTTTTATATTCATCGCCTTATATCTGAGGGAAATATTTGGCTCCCAGCTTCAAACCCTGATCTATGTTTAATGTGAACACATTAATGAGAGCAGCTTCAGGTTCGGTTTGTTTAAAACTTAAGTGGGAAATCACGCCTGAAGAAGCGGTTGTCTTTCCTCCTCTGAACTAACTGCAGAGAGATTTGCTAGAAGTGAGAAAGTAATCCCTAATCAGCGACAGGAAATGACCTTAGAACACCAGAGTTTATGGGTACACACAGAAGGATGTTGACGTCTGAAAGTCAGAAGATTCATTCGGCTTCATATTTCTTCATTCTTAACCAAACTGAACACAAAACAAGTTAATTCACAAAAAATAATGTTTGTTGTTTTGTTTCCACGGTGGCTAATTTCACATAATTCTCCTCGTGTAAGACAGAGTATAAACATCTTCGGTCCATTAAGTCGTGCACTTGTCAGCATTAGTCTACAAACCCTGATAATTAGTTTACAGTAAACCCACAAAAAACAGAATTTTAAAATCCCTTGTACTGGCTACATGTACTGACATGTTGTGTTGTTGTGATCCTAAATGATGAGCAACGCTGGCTTCAATCCTGTGGCTGTGAGCAACAAAGTAGGCTGTTGAAAAGATAATAATCCAGACTGCCATACCGGTTCATTTGCATTTAACATCACTTCAGTGTTGTGATCAAATAAAAAGCCACAGGTTCAGTCTGATGTGGCGCCAGTGTTTCCTGTTTAAGTGAACTCATGACATCCCACAGTGAACCTGCTCATTCACTGTTAGCGGCTCGAAAATCCTTTAAATCTCCAACTTCTCACCACCGGGGAATCTGGGTTTTTTAAATCTTGTAAGCATGTCCGTTTTGTTGGGGAGGGGTTTGTATGTTGACAGACAGTTAATCGGCAGTTGAACCCATGGTTGACCTTAAAGCTGCAGTGTACTGATGACAGTCTCAAAAACACAGATTCAGACTTCTGGGATTTCGTTTGTAACAACCTCAAGAACCAATAATGTCAACTTACAGTACGGCTGGGACTTTCTGTGTGATTGTTTTAATTCAGAATTGGTTTCCGACTGGTTTGAGCATGTATAGTCGAATCACTTCACTCCAACATTCTACTGTAGTTCTACAGTGTTTGAGCAGAGCTATAAGTGAGCCGGTGTGCTCGAGGTGCGGTGAGTGGTGAAATAGTGGGCGGATTCTTTAGATCTGCATATTGTGAAAGGACACAACAGTGTAGGGTTCATTCTAAGCCATTTCTAGACACAGAGATTAGATTTAGAGGGTTATTCGGTAATCACAGAGGGACTTCCTGCCACAAACAATGAGCATCATTCACGATAAAAGTCCAATGAAAATCTGTTTTTGCGTTTCACCCGCTTTTCTCTTTTGAACATCTCCACGCCAACTGTGTCACGAAAGTTCACCGACCTATCGCATTTCTCTTTATTTACAGTTCAGTCTACGAGTTTGCGTTTCCATTTTCAGCCCGTGTATTAATACACAGTCTTGGGAAAGTTGCTGCAGGTGCACCACTAACCAAATACTTCCTCCCGTCACCTTAGCTGTAAATGAGCTGTGGACGGAGACACTAAATACAAGTGTGGGTCTGTGCTGCGTTCACAGGAACAAACTGAAACCTGAAACTCTGCTCGTTTTCCCCCCCAGCCCAGCGAAATGAGTTGACCGGCATCACTGACAGTGAAGTATCCGCTGGCGTCACTCACACTCGTACACAAACACAGCCAGATAGACATCATCAAATCCACTGACACTAAACACATGCATGTAAATTATAGTATTTAAATACATGCGTGGTACAAACATGCGCAGCTGCATCACCCACGCACAGATGCCTGCACACACATAAACACGCTGCGGGAGATCTGAGAGGCTAAAATGAGACGGTCACTCAGACAAGCCAGGACTAGCACGAGCACCGTCCAGATGAAATCCTGTTTCCATCTAGATTAGTCACACACAGCCAGAGCTCTGGGGAATGGACCAAAGTGTCGCTTTGTGTTTTTAAGCCCAGAAGTTAGAATTCTTGAATTTACGGCGATATAAAATAAAGAAAAGCAAAAACAAAACACATGTTGGCAGCTTGATAATCAACTCTGCAGCCATTTAACGTTGTGTGTATCAACTCAGTCATGTATTGTAAACTCTACCTAATATGCAGCTCATGCATTTAGCCACTGAATTCCCATGAAGTGCAGATTAATATTCCTCTTGTTCAATAAAATGTGATCTGAAGGATTATGTTTAGTGTTGTAGAAAACTGTTAGACGTGCCTGATTTCGAAGAAAAAAGTTTGGATCACTTCATCTGCAACAAACGTTTTCACAAAACACAAAACTGAACATGAATGTAGAAGTGTATTGAAATAAAGTTAAATTATCACATTTGATAATGCAACTGATTGACTTTGTGTGAGACTGGTTGTGGGTTTATACCAGAGTTCATTTGCAAAAACAGATAACTCCATCTTCACAAACCTTCAGAAAATTCCCTTTTCCATCGTTGACCTGCGATAATATCAGTCAAACTTAAGTTATCTTTATTTTTGTCATTTCTACTGAGTCAAATCCACTCAACTTCAGTTTGATTGATATTATCTCAAGCAAACAACAACAAAATAAGTTTTCTGAAAATCTTCAAAAATGGAGTTATCTGTTTTTGAAAATGAACTCTTCAAATACTTCATTGCTAAAGTTTTTGCACAATTACACATATTTTTTTAAACAATACTACCAGATGTGAACAGCGATCTTATCAGTCCAACATGAATTCCGATCATGTTAATAATTTGCACCGGGGTCGACCTTTAATGATAACTTGTGATAATCCTCAGAGTTCTCATGTGATACAAAGCGCTGATTGTGCAGCAGGTTTGCAGTAAATAACAGTGAGCTGATAGGAAAGTTTGATCTGGCAGAACTCGAACAAAAAAAAAAGGAAAGAAACCTTTAAGAGAACCGGGCGCGTTAATATTTGATCGCTTCGCCTCCGTTCTTCATCTACTGTACGCGGTGAGCACGTCTCTCATCAAGGTCAGCTGTTCTGTTGTAAAGCTGCTTTGTGTTACGTGTGTTTGTGTGTGTTTGCGAGGCTGAGAAAGAGGAACAGATTTTGACGGGAGTGCGAGAAAACAAACACAGCGATCCAGATCCTTCGCAGCTATGTTTGATCTGCTGTTTGACAATGAAACGCTAAAGCGGGATTTTCTCATGGGAAGAAATCAATACGCCAGTAAACCTTATTGTAATTCAATTTTAGGCAAAAGAAGGAGTATTTAGTGTTCTCTAGTACGACCTGTCAGTGTATCAAAGAACTTCAGAATGATAATAGATGGATAGAATTTACAAAAACATAAAGAGCAGTCCAGAAACCTTGCACATAGAGGCTCAGTTTGGTCATTCTGAGTAAAACGACTGTTGTACAACATCCTCTGTGGTTTTGGAGGAGCTTTGCAAAGCCTGAGAAAATAACCCTGACAGTATCATCTGGGTTGTCCAGAGTATTCGTTAGACTGTTAGTGGCCAGTCAAAACCCTTTTTTACATCCAAAAAGGGTCCAAAAGGTTAAAGTCCTGCAGGATTCAACAGTGAATGGACATTTCCCTCCTGAAACACTCTAATGGTACAGTACAAAGTGGTGTGTAATAGGCTAAGTGTGGCTCCTGCTGTGTGAGCGCTGGAGGAGGGCTGTAGTCGGGTACAAAGTGGGAGTGTTTCAGTCAGTGTTTATGTGATTCACACAGCCGGGGCTGTGGAAGGCTTGACCCTTCACAGACCTCCCCAACACAGCGGAAATGACTCCTGTCTATGTAAGACCCTCGCTCTTCTCCTGAAGTCCCTCCCAAACTCCCAAACTGCTCGACTTGTAGCTTTAGAGGAATGTAAATAAGGCAGGAAAACAAAGTTTGTGAAGCAGAGGGAGTGTTAATGTGTGTGTGTGTGCATGTGTTTGCACACTGTACAGCCGGCAGCG